TATTAAAAAAAATAGATCATAACTAAATTTATGCTATTTTTAAGCTAAAATTGTTACACAAACTCTACAGCTTAAGGAATAGCAATTATTGTATATAAAATGTGTAAATTTAAATAAAAATTACCTCGCTATTAAGTTTTAATAACTTGATAAAGCATTTTTGTCTAAAAAAATAAGCTTTATAAATCTTAAACATTGCAAATAAATATGACTGAAGAACAAAATGATTATAACAATACCAATACTTTAGAAGCAAGTATGGAAGAGGATGATCTATTATTAGAAGAAAATTCAGCTGAATTTGATTCATTTGGTGAAAATATAATTGAATATGAATTATTTGATGAGAATAGCATTGAGTCTGAAGTGTTTGATAAAACATCATCATCATGTTCTTTAAGTTCTAAAAATGCCAATTTATCCAAAACAGTGAAGCAACTATCAAAGAAACGAAGAACAAACCCTATTTGGACTATAATAGAAGAAACTGATGATAAGAATTATTGTAAAATTTGCTGAGCTGAATATTCAAAAAATACGGGAATTACTACAATTAAATCTCATTTTAAAACCAAGCATCCAAAAAAATTGGGATAAATTGTATATACAAACAGTATTAAATTTCCCTAATACTGAACCTTATAGTAAAAAAAGTTGTATGCCTTTTAAAGCTTTTTATTCAGTGGATAATTACTAACCAACAGGCATTTAGTATTGTTGAGAATGATGACTTTTGTGTATTCATTTTAGCACTAGATCAACGGTTTTTTCTTCCTACAAGACAAGAGGTTTCATTAAATATTGTGAATCTTTATAGTCAAAAAAAGAAGGTACTTTGTAACTTTTTTACTACAACATGACAAAAATTTGCAATCATAACTGATGCATGGACCTTATATATGAATCTTGGATATCTTGCCATTACTTTGCACTAGATAAATGAAAATTGGAAAATAAATAAAATTCTATTAAACCTAGTTCCACTTCATGAAAAACACACTGGAAAGTATATTGCAGAGAAAGTTTTTGAAACAGTTTCTTATTATAATATTGGCAACCAGATTCTTGCTACAATAACTGACAATGCAGGTAATATGGATGTATTTGGTTGTGTTTTTGGCCAAATGCTTCAGGATAATTGTAATAATTTTGATTTTGAATGAGTTGGTTGTGCAGTACATATATTAAACCTTGCAGTTGATAGTAGTATGCAAGTTGTCAATAATTTAATTTCTAAACTGTGTAATTTTACTAGCTATATTTGTAAATTACAACCTATTTTTGAAGAACTTAAAAAAATTTTTATAATAAAAGAAAAGCCCTTTTTAGTACCAGATTTAGATGTACCAACTCATTGGAATAGTACATATAAAATGATTGAAAAGATAAATAAAATACATGAAATGACTGATATTTTAGTTGCAGGTAATCTTACATTAAAAGAAAAATATTTAAACGAAAAAGATTGGGTTGAAATTAATGTAAGTATTACTGCTTAGACTATATAAAATTAATAAATTGGTTTTTATAACATAAAATTTTTAAAAGTGACCTAACAAACTAGTTTTTAATTTTATTTTCAAAAAATTTTAAATATAAAACCTGATTTATTAAGTTTGTATGACATTATTCATAAGAAATTATTGATCTTTAACTTATTTTTATTTTTTCTTCATAAATTTAAACATTTAAGGCAATCGCTACACTTCTTGAGCCTATTGTACAAGCAACATGTCTTCTATCTATAGCATCTTATCCAACAATGGGTGACTTATATACAACATTTCAGTTATTCTTGATCTTCTAGATAATGCACTTAATGATGATAATGATGAATCATCAAAAAACAAATTGCACAAAAAATGCATACAAAACTTCTCAATTATTGGATCAAATTAAAGAAACAATATTATTTATCTGTTATCCTTGATCCAAATCTGAAATTGTTTTCATTTGCTGCAGATGATATTTCAGTAATTCAAAGAACTATACATAATACTTATGAAAAGTATCAGAATACACAAACAAATACTAGCTCTTTTAATTTTGAAGTTTCTAGTAGTTCTTCTAAATCATACTTTAAAAAATATCTAAAACGTACACTTATAGCTACTGGAAACTCTAAGTATGAACATAATATTTTTGATAAGTATCTTTCTTCTGCTGAAGAGAATTGTAATATATTGGAATTCTGAAAGATATGGTCAGCTGATATGCATTATGTTATACTTATACAAATGGCACAAGATTACTTGGTCATACAAGCAACAAGTGTGGCCAGTAAGCAAATATTTTCAGTAGCTAAGAATACAATTAGTCCAACTCGCAATCAGTTATCACCAGAAAATTTTCGTGCAAGTCTTTGCTTAAAATCATAGTATAACAATAAATTAGAAATTATAAAAGATAAATAAAAAAAAAACTAAGTTTTTAATAAAAACACGTGCAATACAACTAAGTTATAATTTGTATAGTATTTTATAACATTTGTATGTGCCATATTGCTGCAATGTATAAGTGCAGTTCTATTATATATCGTAACTATTTTATATTTTGTAGCTACTAACTTTATATGCTGTAGCTATTTTATATGCCGTAACTAGTAACTTTATATGCCGTAACTATGTATATGCTACGCTTTATTGTAAATTTTATTTATGCTTTAATCTTTACATAATTAATTATTCCACCAGATTTTTAAAAAAATAATATATTAGCATTAGTTAAAGACAAAAATTTAATAAATAACTTATTCTGCTCAAAAGTTATTACTTTATAATATCTGACCTTTTCTTTTAGACGATCTTCACTACCAATACACATATAATCATAGCTCTATTTGCTAAATACCAAAAAATTTTAGAAGTTTGATATTACAAAGCGAACCTCTTATTTAATATATATAATATAATTTTTTTAATTATTAAGTATACTTGTATAAGCATACTTATATATATCAGCAAATTATATTAACATAAACTTGCGTAAATTATTATGCCCTGAAATATTACAGTCTGGGCACAATATTGCACAATATATAACGTAATATTACAAAATATATTACGTAATATTACAAAAATTATATTGTAATATTACAAAAAAAGCATTTGAAATATTTTGAAATAATTTGAACAAATTCAAAATAATTCAAACAAATTTGAAATAATTCAAAAGATTTTACAATGTTGCGCAAACATATATAAATTGAATATTTTTAAATTATTATATAAACTAATAAAATATTGCGAAATATTGTGAAATATTTCGAAATATTTTGCAATATTTTAAAAAATTTTAAAAGTTTATGTAATAATTTGCAAAGAATATTGCTAACTATAACTGGTGATAATAATCACTGGCATCATATAATTAAATAGTTATATCTCAATTATAAATCAATAATAAATCCAATTTTATTAAAACTTCAATAATCATTATATAATACATAATAATTTAATACTAAGAACTAACTCTGCTAGCGACAAACAATGCCACAGGTCCACTAACAAGAAACCAACTAGCGACACTACAAGCCCAACACAAAAGACAACTAGCAACATCACAAGCCTGACAACATCACAACAAGTTCTAGTAAGCCCAAACAACAAAGACCAACAATTCACAACAGCAAAAAGTACTGAAAAGACCAACTAATGACATCACAAGCCTAACGATGAAAGCCTATTAATGACAATAGATTAACTAATGACACTATATGATGAAAAGCAAAAGCACTGATAGAAGCCATCTCTGTACAAAAAAAAAAAAAAAGCATACTAAGAACTAAAAAAAACACAACGCCACAAGTCTACTAACAAGAAACCAACTAGCAATACAACAAGCCTAACATGAAAGACTGACTAACCACATCACAAGCCTAATGACGAAAGCCCATTAACGACGAAAAGCAAAAATATTGATAGAAGCCGTCCCTATACAAAAAAAAAAAAGAAAGCACAAAAATTTAATATTAAGAACTAAACAAAAACAAAAAAAAGACACTGCTGTAACAAAAGATGCCACAAGTTCACCAACAAGAAACTAACTAGTGACACTACAAGCCCAACATGAAAGACTGACTAACAATATTACAAGACCGATAACGAAAGCCCATTAATGATGAAAAGCAAAAGCATCGATAGAAGCCGTCTCTTTACAAAAAAAAAGAAAGCGCAAAAATTTAATACTAAACAAAAATACAAAAAAAAAGACACTGCTAGTGACAAACGATGCCACAAGTCCACCAGCAAGAAACTAACTAGCAACACCACATTCCCAACATGAAAGACTGACTAACGACATCACAAGCCCAATGACGAAAGCCCATTAACGACATCACAACAAGTTTAGTGAGCCCAAACAACAAAGATTGACTAACAACGAAAAGTACTGAAATTCGAAAAAGCACGAAAGTTAGTACAAGAACTAGACAAACATAAAAAAAACAAATAAACTTAGTAAAAAAGGTGTACTAAAATGAACGTAAAAGAAATTAAAAATACTTATATATTATTAAGTTGTGTAACTGGTGATTATAGTTTAAATTAATGATCACCAATTTTATAAATGATTGGATGATTATTCGATAATCCGAAAGAATTCGCAAATTTTCAAGACTCCCGATAATTTTCAAATCAGCTATAACAATAACTAAAAAATGCCTAAATCAAATTAGGGCTCATTATTTTCTGAGAAACTATGCGAAAAAGTTTAGAAGTATGTAATATTTTTGCAAATAGGTACGTATATAAGCAAAAGATTACAGTATGCAATATTTTTTTTAGAATTACACCTAATTTTTTTATTCTGTTTATAGCTGATTTAAAATTAGTAGGCACTTGAAATTTTGCTTGATTTCTGCAATCATTCGGATTATTCTTATAATTTATCTAACCCTTCGGAATTTACGTTACTGTTTTCAGAATTTCAACCCGAAAATTGTAATATGATTTCCAAAGATTTAGATTTTTCATAAGATAATCTGAGACGTTTCGGAATCAAGCAAATTTTCATGTCTTCATTATTTTCTGTGCAACATTATATAATTTTTAAATATATGCAAATTAGGTAAAAGATTTTGCAATAATTTTTTTAGATTACATCTTTTAATATATATTCTGTAATCTCAATTAACCTACTCATAATTAAGACAGCTTATAGCTAATTGAATATTAGTGGAACACTTGAAAATTTGATTAATTCCCACAATATTTCAGATTATTTTAATGAATTATTAAACACTTCAGAATTTATTTTACTGTCTTCAGAACATTAACTGAAACTGATGTTATTTCCAAAGAGTTAGATATTTAATAAGATAATCTGAGATGTTTCGGAATCAAGCAAATTTTCAAGTCCCCACTTATTTTCATAACAAAAAAAATTGTCTTGTATGTACGTACAAATTAAGTGAAATTATGTAATATTTTTTCCTACGTAATATACCTGCTTATAATTTATGTTATAGCTATTTTTATGAATTATGAGACAGCATAGCTGATTTGAATATTAGTTTGACA